CTGGGGGGACACCAGGGACAGGGGACAGATGTGGGGGGACACCAGGGACAGCCTTGGGGGACGCCAAGGACAGGGGACAGATCTGGGGGGACATCAGGGACAGCATGGGGACAGATCTGGGGGGCTATAGGGACAGCCTTGGGGGACACCAGGGACAGGGGACAGATGAGGGGGACACCAGGGACAGCATGGGGACAGGGGACAGATGAGGGGGACACCAGGGACAACATGGGGACAGGGAAGAGATGAAGGGGACATCAGGGACAGGGGACAGATCTGGGGGGACACCAGGGAGAGCATGGGGACAGGGGACAGATCTGGGGGGACACCAGGGACAGCCTTGGGGAACACCAGGGACAGGGGACAGATGAAGGGGACACCAGGGACAACATGGGGACAGGGAAGAGATGAAGGGGACACCAGGGACAGGGGACAACTGTGGGGGGCTCTGGGGACAGCCTTGGGGGACGCCAGGGACAGGGGACAGATCTGGGGGGACATCAGGGACAGGGGACAGATGAAGGGGACACCAGGGACAGCATGGGGACAGGGGACAGATCTGGGGGGACACCAGGGACAGGGGACAGATGAAGGGGACACCAGGGACAACATGGGGACAGGGAAGAGATGAAGGGGACACCAGGGACAGGGGACAACTGTGGGGGGCTCTGGGGACAGCCTTGGGGGACGCCAGGGACATGGGACAGATGAGGGGGACAGCATGGGGAGAGGGGACAATCCTGGGGGGACACCAGGGACAGCGTGGGGACAGGGGACAGCCCTGGGGACACCCACCAGGGACAGGGGACAGTGTAAGGCCAGGGGACAACCCTGGGGACACACCACAGCGGGTGACAGCCCCGTGGGGACACGTTGGCCAGGGGACACCCCCCGGAGCCGGGAGGGGACACCCCGGAGCTGAAGGATGTCCCCAAAAACCCCCACCCAACCCCTCCCCCATGACAAGGTGGGGGACACTGGGAGCCGTTGGGGACACCCAGAGTCAGGGGCCACCCCCGTGTCACCCCCAACCCTGGGGACACCCCTGGAGGGGGGGGGTGGGGGATGGTGACACCCAGAGCCAAGACCCCACCCCCAGGGGCCACCCCAAAACCTTGGGGACGTCCCCAACCCTTTTGGGGCACCTTGGGGACCCTTAAAGGACCTTGGGGACCCTGAAGGGACCTTGGGGACATCCCTGTCACCTGGGGAAAGTTGGGGACACCCAGAGTCAGGGGCCACCCCCGTGTCACCCCCAACCCTGGGGCCACCCCAAAACCTTGGGGACATCCCCAACCCTTTTGGGGCACCTTGGGGACCCTTAAAGGACCTTGGGGACCCTTCAAGGACTTTGGGGACCCTGAAGGGACCTTGGGGACATCCCTGTCACCTGGGGAAAGCCAAGGGGTCCCCACCACTGTCCCTGTCCCCAACGGGTCTCTGGTTTTGTCCCCAAGGGGTCCCTGTCATCATCTGTCCCCAACGGGTCTCTGGTTTTGTCCCCAACGGGTCCCTGTCCCCAACGGGTGTCTGGCTTTGTCCCCAAGGGGTCCCTGTCCCCATCCCTGTCCCCAACGGGTCCCCAACAGGTCCCCACCAGTGTCCCTGTCCCCAAGGGGTCCCTGTCACCATCCCTGTCCCCAAGGGGTCCCCAACAGGTCCCCACCAGTGTCCCTGTCCCCAACGGGTCCCTGTCCCCATCCCTGTCCCCAAGGGGTCCCTGTCACCCTCCCTGTCCCCAACGGGTCCCCAACAGGTCCCCAAAAGGTCCCCACCACTGTCCCTGTCCCCAAGGGCTCCCTGTCACCCTCCCTGTCCCCATCTTTGTCCCTGTCCCCAACAGGTCCCCAGTGGGTCCCTGTCCCTGTCCCCAACGGGTCTCTGGTTGTGTCCCCAAGAGGTCCCTGTCCCCAACGGGTCCCCGTCACCCTCCCTGTCCCCAACAGGTCCCCATCATTGTCCCTGTCCCCAAGGGTTCCCTGTCCCCATCCCTGTCCCCAACGGGTCCCCAACAGGTCCCCACCACTGTCCCTGTCCCCAAGGGGTCTCTGTCACCCTCCCTGTCCCCAACGGGTCCCTGTCACCCTCCCTGTCCCCAATGGGTCCCCAAAAGGTCCCCACCACTGTCCCTGTCCCCAACAGGTCCCTGTCACCATCCCTGTCCCCAACGGGTCTCTGGTTTTGTCCCCAAGGGGTCCCCACCACTGTCCCTGTCCCCAACGGGTCTCTGGTTTTGTCCCCAAGGGGTCCCTGTCCCCATCCCTGTCCCCAACAGGTCCCCACCACTGTCCCTGTCCCCAATGGGCCCCTGTCATCATCTCTGTCCCCAACGGGTCCCCACCAATGTCCCTGTCCCCAACGGGTCCCTGTCACCCTCCCTGTCCCCAACGGGTCTCTGGTTTTGTCCCCAAGAGGTCCCCACCACTGTCCCTGTCCCCAAGGGCTCCCTGTCACCCTCCCTGTCCCCATCTTTGTCCCTGTCCCCAACAGGTCCCCAGTGGGTCCCTGTCCCTGTCCCCAACGGGTCTCTGGTTGTGTCCCCAAGAGGTCCCTGTCCCCAACGGGTCCCCGTCACCCTCCCTGTCCCCAACAGGTCCCCATCATTGTCCCTGTCCCCAAGGGTTCCCTGTCCCCATCCCTGTCCCCAACGGGTCCCCAACAGGTCCCCACCACTGTCCCTGTCCCCAAGGGGTCTCTGTCACCCTCCCTGTCCCCAACGGGTCCCTGTCACCCTCCCTGTCCCCAATGGGTCCCCAAAAGGTCCCCACCACTGTCCCTGTCCCCAACAGGTCCCTGTCACCATCCCTGTCCCCAACGGGTCTCTGGTTTTGTCCCCAAGGGGTCCCCACCACTGTCCCTGTCCCCAACGGGTCTCTGGTTTTGTCCCCAAGGGGTCCCTGTCCCCAAAGGGTCCCCATCTTTGTCCCTGTCCCCATCCCTGTCCCCAACGGGTCTCTGGTTTTGTCCCCAACAGGTCCCCATCTTTGTCCCTGTCCCCAGTGGGTGTCTAGTTTTGTCCCCAACGGGTCCCCATCACCATCTCTGTCCCCAACAGGTTCCTGTCCCTGTCCCCAAGGGGTCCCTGTCATCATCCCTGTCCCCAAAGGGTTCCCTGTCACTCTCCCTGTCCCCAACGGGTGTCTGGTTTTGTCCCCAAGGGGTCCCTGTCCCCAACGGGTCCCCATCTTTGTCCCTGTCCCCAGTGGGTGTCTGGTTTTGTCCCCAATGGGTCCCTATCTTTTTCCCCATCCCTGTCCCCAGTGGGTCACTGTCCCTGTCCCCAACGGGTCCCTGTCACCCTCCCTGTCCCCAACGGGTCTCTGGTTTTGTCCCCAAGGGGTCCCTGTCACCATCCCTGTCCCCAACAGGTCCCTGTCACCGTCCCTGTCCCCAACGGGTCCCCAACAGGTCCCCACCACTGTCCCTGTCCCCAACGGGTCCCCACCAGTGTCCCTGTCCCCAACAGGTCCGCACCATTGTCCCTGTCCCCAACAGGTCCCCACCAGTGTCCCTGTCCCCAACGGGTCCCCAACAGGTCCCTGTCCCCAGTGGGTCCCTGGTTTTGTCCCCAACAGGTCCCTGTCCCCAATGGGTCCCCACCACTGTCCCTGTCCCCAACGGGTCCCTGTCATAATCCCTGTCCCCAAAGAGTCCCCAACAGGTCCCTGTCCCCAACGGGTCCCCATCATTGTCCCTGTCCCCACGGGTGTCTGGTTTTGTCCCCAAGGGGTCCCTGTCCCCATCCCTGTCCCCAACAGGTCCCCACCACTGTCCCTGTCCCCAACGGGTCCCCAACAGGTCCCTGTCCCCAACGGGTCCCCAACAGGTCCCTGTCCCCAACGGGTCCCCAACAGGTCCCTGTCCCCAACGGGTCCCCAACAGGTCCCTGTCCCCAACGGGTCCCCAACAGGTCCCTGTCCCCAACGGGTCCCCAACAGGTCCCTGTCCCCAACGGGTCCCCAACAGGTCCCTGTCCCCAACGGGTCCCCAACAGGTCCCTGTCCCCAACGGGTCCCCAACAGGTCCCTGTCCCCAACGGGTCCCCAACAGGTCCCTGTCCCCAACGGGTCCCCAACAGGTCCCTGTCCCCAACGGGTCCCCAACAGGTCCCTGTCCCCAACGGGTCCCCAACAGGTCCCTGTCCCCAACGGGTCCCCAACAGGTCCCTGTCCCCAACGGGTCCCCAACAGGTCCCTGTCCCCAACGGGTCCCCAACAGGTCCCTGTCCCCAACGGGTCCCCAACAGGTCCCTGTCCCCAACGGGTCCCCAACAGGTCCCTGTCCCCAACGGGTCCCCATCATTGTCCCTGTCCCCACGGGTGTCTGGTTTTGTCCCCAAGGGGTCCCTGTCCCCATCCCTGTCCCCAACAGGTCCCCACCACTGTCCCTGTCCCCAATGGGCCCCTGTCATCATCTCTGTCCCCAACGGGTCCCCACCAATGTCCCTGTCCCCAACGGGTCCCTGTCACCCTCCCTGTCCCCAACGGGTCTCTGGTTTTGTCCCCAAGGGGTCCCTGTCCCCAATGGGTGTCTGGTTTTGTCCCCAATGGGCTGCTGGGGTGATACTGGGAGCACTGGGGGGCTACGGGGGCGATACTGGGAGTACTGGGGACCACTAGGGTCTACTGGGAGCACTGGGGGGGGCTGCTGGGGTGATACTGGGAGCACTGGGGGGCTACGGGGGCGATACTGGGAGTACTGGGGACCACTAGGGTCTACTGGGAGCACTGGGGGGGGCTGCTGGGGTGATACTGGGAGCACTGGGGGGCTACGGGGGCAATACTGGGAGTACTGGGGGGGGGCTGCGGGGGTGGTTCTGGGAGCACTGGGGGGATACTGGGGATCTCTAGGGGCTACGGGGTGATACTGGGGACCACTAGGGTCTACTGGGAACACTGGGGGGGGCTGCTGGGGTGATACTGGGAGCACTGGGGTGGCTGCTGGGGTGATACTGGGAGTACTGGGACGATACTGGGGACCACTAGGGGTTACCGGGGCCATTCTGGGATCCCTGTCGGGGGGGCAACTGGGGACTGTTAGTGGCTACTGGGGCGATACTGGGAGCACTGGGGAGGGGCGACAGAGCCTCTTACTGCTCCCAGTAGCGGGGCTGGGCCTTACTGGGAGGGACTGGGAGGGACTGACTGGTGTCCCCGCAGAAGCGTAAGGTGGAGGTGGTGTCACCCGCCACCCCCGTCCCCGCCGCCACCGAGACCTCGCAGGCCTCCGTCTTCCCCCAGGTGAGACCAGTGCTTCCCAGTATACACCAGTAAGCACCTAGTCACACCAGTAACCGCCCAGTAGCGGACCCTCGCGTTCCCACCAGTCTCGGGTAGTGATTCCCAGTTCTCCCCAGTAACAGCACTACAGGCTTCACCATTGTAATTGCCCCATCGCACCAGTATCCGACCAGTAACACCAGTAACTTCCCAACGCCACCAGTATTCTCTTAGTAAAGGCAACGTGCTTTTAGGAGCTAACCAGTGACACCAGTAACTAACCAGTAAGACCAGTAAGTAGTCAGCAAGAGCGATGACGACGCCGTAGCTTTCCACTAACACTGGTTATTCCCCAGTACTTCCCAGTAACACCAGTAGTCTCTTAGTAAAACCAGTAAGTGCCGAGTAACACCAGTGAGTAACCGGTAACCAACAACTTAGCTAACCAGTGACACCAGTAACTAACCAGTACGACCAGTAAGCAGTCAGCAAGAGCGACGACGACCCCATAGCTTTCCAGTAACACTGGTTATTCCCCAGTACTTCCCAGTAACACCAGTAGTCTCTTAGTAAAACCAGTAAGTGCCGAGTAACACCAGTGAGTAACCGGTAACCAACAACTTAGCTAACCAGTGACACCAGTAACTAACCAGTAGGACCAGTAAGTAGTCAGCAAGAGCGATGACGACCCCGTAGCTTTCCAGTAACACTGGTTATTCCCCAGTACTTCCCAGTAACACCAGTAGTCTCTTAGTGAAACCAGTAAGTGCCAAGTAACACCAGTAAGTAACCAGTAACCAACCCCTAAGTAACCCGGGGTCCCTGTCCCCAACGGGTCCCCATCTTTGTCCCTGTCCCCAGTGGGTGTCTGGTTTTGTCCCCAATGGGTCCCTATCTTTTTCCCCATCCCTGTCCCCAGTGGGTCACTGTCCCTGTCCCCAACGGGTCCCTGTCACCCTCCCTGTCCCCAACGGGTCTCTGGTTTTGTCCCCAAGGGGTCCCTGTCCCCAATGGGTGTCTGGTTTTGTCCCCAATGGGCTGCTGGGGTGATACTGGGAGCACTGGGGGGCTACGGGGGCGATACTGGGAGTACTGGGGACCACTAGGGTCTACTGGGAGCACTGGGGGGGGCTGCTGGGGTGATACTGGGAGCACTGGGGGGTTAGCTAACCAGTGACACCAGTAACTAACCAGTACGACCAGTAAGCAGTCAGCAAGAGCGACGACGACCCCATAGCTTTCCAGTAACACTGGTTATTCCCCAGTACTTCCCAGTAACACCAGTAGTCTCTTAGTAAAACCAGTAAGTGCCGAGTAACACCAGTGAGTAACCGGTAACCAACAACTTAGCTAACCAGTGACACCAGTAACTAACCAGTAGGACCAGTAAGTAGTCAGCAAGAGCGATGACGACCCCGTAGCTTTCCAGTAACACTGGTTATTCCCCAGTACTTCCCAGTAACACCAGTAGTCTCTTAGTGAAACCAGTAAGTGCCAAGTAACACCAGTAAGTAACCAGTAACCAACCCCTAAGTAACCAGTAACACCAGTAACTAACCAGTTATACTAGTAAACAACCAGTAGCACCAGTAATTAACCAGTAATGAGGCAATAACCCACCAGTAACCAACCAGTAACACCAGTAATTAACCAATAACTAGCTAATAACGCACCAGTAACACCAGTAACTGGCCAATAACCCACCAGTAACCAACCAGTAGCACCAGTAATTAACCAATAACTAGCCAATAACCCACCAGTAACCAACCAGTAGCACCAGTAATTAACCAGTAACTAGCCAATAACCCACCAGTAACACCAGTAACCAACCAGTAGCACCAGTAATTAACCAGTAACTACCCAGTAACCCACCAGTAACACCAGTAACCAACCAGTAATTGCTCAGTAATCACTTATTAACACAAGTGCCCCTTAGGACCCACCCCAACTCTTCCCAGTACCCCCCCCCCAGTCCTCCCAGTAACA